ACAATACAACAATACAACAATACATATATACAACAGTTTGCGATAGAAACGCACGCGCGTGTTCGTATACACGAATACATACATACCGCATACATCGCGACGATTCACACACTTAATTCTCACTCCCTGTGTATAACTGCAATCTACACACAGCTCAGGGTTGTTAGAAATGATCACATATGTGTTACTCCACGTCCTATGTATTCACTGACAACCATCCTCTGCTTCCATCCACATGCAGCGAGTAGGATGCGCTATACACAACTGCACGCGAGAACTAGAATTCATGCACGATATATGCGCTACTGCGCTTATCTACGTGACGCAAGGAGAAACGGCGTGAGTGCTGCGAGACACACACGATCTCGTTTAGGGATGCAATCGAGTTCCAGGATGCTGAGTGATGATGAGATACCACTAAGATGCGGGCAGCATCCGCACGCGTGATCGCATTGTTGTTGTTGTTGTTGTTGTTGTTGTCGCTACAATTTCGCCGCCAACGCCGCGGGTGTGTCCCTGACTGATACACGCGTTGTTTGAGTACTGATGTTAGTTTTAAGCACCTATTGTACGCTACCAACGGTTCGACCCTCGCGGTGATCAGAATCGAAAACTCGGAGCGTCGTGCGAGACGCGGATCCGATTCCTACTCGATGAACCGGTTTCAACCCGTACTCGGATCGTTCCACGGAGGACACACACTCACACGTGTGTGGTGTGTCGGTGGAGCACAGATTGTAGACAGCAGTCTGTCCCTCTGACTAGTTAACCCCGCAGTCGTATGCGCCTCACATCCTGTTTCTCCCCCTTGTGTTCTTACTGCTATTTAACGACTACCGGTCAATGCTGCTGCTGCTGCTGCTAATGCTAATGCTAATGCTGCTGCCGCCGCCCACGTGCGTCTGCGTTTCCCTTTCCTGGAATAAAATCTCGCGCATGCTGGGGGAGTAAAATGTAGCGAGCGGTCATAAAACTCATATGCATATTGCTGCTGACGTGTGCGACAGCTACGCAGGTTTACAGCAGTCGCATGCCGAATGCTGGAGTCACTCCACACGCTACATATACGGGCAATGGTCAATCGGAAGGTGTTATGTATAAGCGAGGGAACTGTGCCTAAGGCTCATAGGGTCTATGTCCCCCAGGGTACTGCCGGAACGTACCCTGGTAACTATCTAGCTGATATGGTTAGGGTTAGAGTTAGAGTTAGGGTTAAGGTTAGGCAGTAGGCGTAGGCGCCTCCCTAGACTCGTTAATGGAGTAGGCGAGGTACGGTCCGGCATATTAGATAGTACCAGGGTACGTTCCGGCAGTACCCTGGGGGACATAGACCCTATCAGCGTAACTAAGCAAACGCGCGTTAGATACGTGTGGATTCACGGCAGAACACACAGTTGAAGAGCATTCCACATGCCGGTAGAATTTCACGTCGTGTCGTTGCCGTGACGTATTGACGGTACGGTCGCCAAATAGAAAATTCGGATGAACATGATTTCGGGTGATATGTGCACCTAAGCGGGGGCGTATAACGTATACATCATACCTGTACTAAAATGAGTACAGGTGGGCGGCAGGTAAAAAGTGTTGACTAAAGGTGTTTGAGAATCAAGTCAGTGCTGTGTTCCCGCTAGCCCACTCACGATGAGTCATCGATTCGACTAGACACATATTATAGTTATGGTTTTGCGTATAAAATGACCCGCACGTGATAAAATCTCAATCGGCACGATTTCCACCTGGCGGTGTATATCAACATCAACGTTCTATTGTTCGCGTAACCGAGTTTGACTAATAACTGACATCACGAAAGCATTATCGCCAGATAAACCTGTCAGCTCAGATGTTACCAAAGACACGTACACTTTGCATCTGCTGTATATACTGTCAAAAATGTTAAAAGAATTTAATTATATCTTACATACTATTTAGCAACATTAATGCTGATACGTAGATTGTTGACCTGAAATGTTGATTGTATTTTGATGAATGAATGTAGCGATGTGCTGTCAATAACAAAATGTTACTGATTAGATAAAGGGTTAAAATGATTTATCCACGTCTTATTCTATGTTGCTCTCACAATAGTTGATATCTTTATAGAAGCTAGCAATACAATGACCTCGATGATTTCCCACCTTATACAAACGAATCAACACGCACTGCTTATAATACTAAAACACCTTTTGGATTTGATGACAGACACTTGTGCAAACGGTTGTTCACGAATTTATTCATTTTACGATTTATACACGAGTAAACTGCATAGGCACACCTATACCAAATCGATTACGCGAACATCGTGGGTAACTTGCCTAATGCCTATACTATAACTAAATATGTTAAATATAAACTAAATTTAATAAATTTACTAAATATGAACTAACTATCTACGCCTTGTTGTGTACTTACAGCCTGACAGACTCCATGAGCCAGTGGGATAGACCTCCGCTCTGCTGCGCCATGATCGCGTGCGTCACTGATGGCCGTACATCAACGCTTTCCGTCTGCAACAATGAGTAAACAATGCTCAGACACACGCACGAGTAAACAATGCTCAGACAAACGTATGAGTAAATAATGCTCAGACAAACGTATGAGTAAACAATGCTCAGACAAACGTATTCGGTTTCCTTCTGCAGCAATGAATAAATAAATCTCAGAAAAATGTATGAGTAAACAACGTTCAAACAAACTTATGAGTAAATAAAGCTTAGACAAACGTATGAGTAAACAATGCTCAGACACACGTATAAGTAAATAACGTTCAAACAAACATATGAGTAAACAATGCTCAAGCAAGTATAAGCAACCCTTAGACGAAAAACAAACGTAGAATGTACAACATATATAATAACACATAACAAGCACAGCATGCGACCACGCGGCTACACACGGATAATAATTTATGTCTTTCTGTATCTCTAGTTCTGTATATGTTATTA